TGTTGCTGCTGGTGCTTCTGCAACTGCTGACCTATTCATCTTCAATTCTCCATTGTTTTGGAACACAAGAAAGGGATCAGAGGGAAGTGCAAAGGAGGAGGATATTACGGAATGAAATGAAAGCATATAAATGGGAACTGAAAACAACGAAAGGGAAGTGAAAGAAAACTACGGGGACTGGAAGCAGTTGAAGGGAACTAAAAGCAACCGAAGGGAACAACAAAAAAGAGAGGACAAAGCAGCTCAAAAACAGCTGAGCATAATGGAACTAATGAGTGATGGGAGGGAGGGCTCAGGAACTGCATGGCAGAGCAGAGGCACGTGACGAGAGCAGCCTGTGGCAGTGTGGCAGTGAGCTGAGCGATGCAAGGGGGGGACTGGGATAGTGCGGGATTGTTTTTTAGATGTCTCAAATGCAAGGGGGGGACTGGGATAGTGCGGGTTTGTTTTTGAGACGTCTCAAATGCAAGGGGGGGACTGGGATAGTGCGGGACGCAAGCATGGGATGAATGCGAGCTAGCCCGCTCGACTCTAGACTGAGCTCCTCTGCCGCCCTGACATGGGCTGCCCTCGCCATGCGCCTCAACCCTCACATTCAGATCCTGACCCCTCCTGAAGTGCAAAAGGTTGTATGGCATAGAGTATTCCCAAGACACCCAACAGAGACACTGCCAGCATGCATTGAATCTTCAAGCCGCAACCCACCACATCGCATCCCCATACGTGCTCCACCACACCCGCATCCTTTGCTCGTCCCATCTCCCCATCCCCTCTCTCCTACAACCCTCACTTGCCCCTTTGCCCTTTCTTCCCCACCCCCACCTGCTTTTCCTGCCCTGGAAAGTTGAGGGTAATTCGCCCACGGCGCGGCGCTGGCATCCACATCACAAGCTGTCCAGCTCATTCTGCTATCTTTATTTCCTTCGATGGTGCCACTCATGCCACGTGGGAGGCCCATGAGATGCCACGTCAGCTGCTGAAGTTCAGTGGTGAAGGGCGGAGGGAGGAGGAGCGGGTAAGAGGGGCGGGGAGGGGGGGGGTGAAGGAGGCGGGAGGGAGTCGAGGGCTTGCAAAGCTAAGTGCATAGAATTTGGTGTTGAGGAGACTGGTGTTGGGGAGGGACAGAAGGCAGAAGAGGGTAAGAAGGAGGGGAGATAAGTGGGGTGAAAGGAGGTCCAGAAAGGCTGAAGGTGAAAAGGAATGCGGTCCAAGAATGCACAGGGGAAATAGGAGGGGAGGACAGGTGGGGATGGGAGAGAGCAACTGAGGAATGGAAAAAGCTTGGGGTGGAGGGGGCGGCGAAGTGGAAGGGGGCGAGGAGAGAGAGAAAACTGCATGACTTTTTGGGGTAAAGCTGAGGAGGGTGGAGAAGGTGGAGAAGGGGGAGAAGGAGAAGAGTAGAGGGGAGACGATGATCGCACCCTCTTCTTGATCGTGACATTATATCAGGGAAGTATCCATCCTTCCCACGGCTTGCTGCGCTCCCTCCCGCGGCGATACAGCACGTTGCTGCAGACAAAAGGGCACCGGCATGGGCAGCAGCAGCAGAGGCCGTGGTGCTGGGCTGGCAGCAGCAGCAGTAGTGGCAGCAGCACCACCTGCTCGCTGCCCCTTCACTTCTCGTCCCTTCCTTCCGCCAAGCAACTCGCCTCCACAAAGCATGTGTTGCACCCGTCACTCCCGTGTGCCATCCAACCTAGGTGCAGCATGCTCACACGCCCCCTCACTCTGTGCCTCTGCCCCAGTGCTCCATCTCTCGACTCGCTCCTGTCTGCTCCTGTCTTCCAGTCTGTCAAACCCCCACCTTCGCTTTGCCGGCCTCTCTTCAGCTCAGCTCAAGTCGCTGCACCACTCCTGGGCTGACCCTGCTGCCTCAACGATCCGAGTCTTTGAGTCCATCCATCCAATCACTTGGCTTGGCTCGAGGCTGCCATGCACCTGCCAGCGCAGATACACACCGGCATGGCAAGACGGAAGCGAGATGCACAGGGGAAAAGGTAAAGAGGGGGGATGCGTCGGGGGGTGGGTTGTAGGGGGCGGAACAGGTTCCAACTGCGCATGCGCTGACGGTGCAGCGTCTGTGCGTGGGCGTCCCGCCTGTGTGGCCCTCTGACGGCTACCGCAGATCCCCACGGTCGTCATGGCAGATAACACATTTGCGAAAAGGAAGCGAGCGCATTGCGCCTCGCGGACGGCGCAGGGGGCGTGGGGCGCCGGGGGGGGGTGGGCGTCGCTGGACGATTAAGAGATTTGCAAGAGGTGTCGGGGAAGCGCATTTGCAAGGTGCGAAAGTGAGAGGTTGTGGCATGATGCAAGCGCAGAAAGGAGGAAGCGAGGAAGGAGACTCGCGGGCGAAAGTGCGAGGTGAACAGGAGGGGAGGAGAAAATGGGCAAAGGGGGAACGGGCGAGAGCATCATGTTGACACGGTTCCACTCGGTCGACTCACCATCGCCATCGCCATCGCCAAGACCATCTGCGATATAAGTCGCTTCGGCTTGGGGGCCGCGTCTCCTGTCTTTTCGAGAGGCTACCAAGAAGCTCCATTCCCCCTCAATCTCTCGCGTTCCGCTCGTCTCTCTCCTGCTCCATCTTGGCGGAGTGTATCTGATGCGCTACTCGAGGCCCAAATGGTGAAGTCAGTCTCTTCAACAATTTATCCCATCCGTGGAACTGCGGTTTCACATTCACCGGGATTATCCCAGCCGCAGCAAATCGCAATTGTTGGCCTCGTGGAATAGATGTTGAAAACGTGCTGCTTGCAACTTCCAAGTTTGGCATGTCGCGCATCACTCGCTTTTCGGTCTCAACATTTCCAGGTTTTCAAGTTTTGTTCGCAATGGTAGTCGTGGGAGAGTTGAACGAGTGACCTGGGCAACTTTCGTAGGTTGGGAAAGTTGCTCAGATGGCGGCTCGAGAGCCAGTGGTTCTGTTCGGGTTATAAAACACCTCGACATTGTTGAAACAGTGAATGTTACCTTTTACGCTGATTACAAAATTAACAATGGACATGTTACTGTGAACCTTGCTACTGTATTTGGATTGCTTAGTGTTGTTCAACCTTTTGCGCATTCCGCACAATGTAACGAACTGCAGTTCGGATTCGTTAAGGCGCTCTGCTCAATGGTGTCTGAATGCCATCCGTCAGGCCAGGGACATGTCAGTCCTGGTTCGTCGTCGTGGTTTGGCGCGAAAATTGGAAACTCGCTTTGGCAATCAGAAGGGAGCATAAGCTCAATTCACTCCCTCCCGACTAGTTTATCCTGCTGAAATGAGAAATGCGCGGTTCGGAACTTAGCTTACTCAACAACCGCTTTCCTAGATTAAAAACGTTGGTTCTATAGTTGCTCCCTTCATCTTATCATTTGCACTTGCCCGCTACGAGGAGCCGACCACCAGTAGGACAAACGGCAGTATGTGTTTTAGCACAAATAGATGTTTAGATAAGCAGGTGCGCGCTTGGAGCATATGAGCGCGTAGGTGCGCCTACAGCATTGACGGCAGCAGCGGTGCGCGCTAGAAGCGTATGAGCGGGTAGGCAGCAGCACATCGCAGCAGCAGGGGCACTGGCAGTGGCATGTGTGCGTGAGGCACCGCAGCGCACTTGAAGCAGCAGCACGCAGCAACCTGAAAAGGTGCTTGGCAGGTGCATTTGCAGCATCGGCCGCAGCAGCAGCAGGGCGCTGCAGCAGGGGCGTTAGGAGAAGCGGCAGCGGGATGTGCGCGTAAAGCAGGCAGCGGCACGCAGCAGCTGGGATCGCATCAGCTGCATTCGCAGCATCAGCAGTAGCAGAAACGCGCATCAGTAGGGCGATAGGAGAAGCGGCAGTGGGGTGTGCGCATGAAGCACCGGAGCGCGCTAGCAACAGCGGCACGCAGCAGCTGGGATCCCATCAGCAGGTGCATTCGCAGCATCAGCAGTAGCAGAAACGCGCATCAGCAGGGGCGTTAGGAGAAGCGGCAGCGGGATGTGCACATAAAGCACTGGAGCGCGCTAGCAACAGCGGCGCGCAGCAGCTAGGATCGCATCAGCAGGTGCATTCGCAGCATCAGCAGTAGCAGCAACGCGCAGCAGCAAGGGCGATAGGAGCAGCGGCAGCAGGATGTGCGCATAAAGCACCGGAGCGCGCTAGCAACAGCGGCGCAGCAGCTGGGATCCCATCAGCAGGTGCATTCGCAGCATCAGCAGTAGCAGCAACGCGCATCAGTAGGGGCGATAGGAGCAGCGGCAGCGGGATGTGTGCATAAAGCACCGGAGCACGCTAGCAACAGCGGCGCGCAGCAGCTGGGATCGCATCAGCAGGTGCATTCGCAGCATCAGCAGTAGCAGCAACGCGCATCAGTAGGGGCATTAGGTGCAGCGGCAGTAGCAGGTGCTTCAGAAGTCTTTTGGGCCTAGCGTAAGCAGCTGCGCATAGCAGCAGCAGATGTGTTCGGTGCATCGGCATCAGCAGCGCATCGCAGCAGCAGCGGCATCGGCATGTACGTGTGTTGCATCGGGCGCACATTAGCAGCATGTGCGTTCGGCATTTGAGCATGAAGGATCAGAGCACGTTGCACGAACAGCAGGAACAGGATCGTTTGCAGGGTTGACAGCAGCAGGTGCTTTCGCAGCATTGGCAGCTGCAGCAAGTCCGCAGCGGCGGCAGTAGCAGCAGCATGAGTTCGTAGCAGCAGGCGCGTTCGCAGCAGCAAAGCGGTGGCAGCACGTCGCAGTGGCGCGGTGCAGCAGGTAACTTCGCAGCATCAGGTTTAGCGGCATCTCGCAGCAGCAACATGGATCAACAAAGCCTCCCATTTGAGTGCGATCAGGAGGGCTGTGAAGCAAAATTTGCCTCTCGGCAACAGAAAGCGTCGCACATGAGCAGGGGCCAGCATACGTTTCACGGCATTCAGGGTAGAGCAGCAGCTGGGGCTAGCGCGGCGGGCATGGGCTATAGCATGCGTAGCTTTGTGGCCGCAGGTCAAGCTCTTGAGTGCAGAAGCCGAAAACGTTGGATTGTTACTCCATGCGAACTGAGGTAACGATTAGAGCCAGAAACGGATGCGGCGACCCCCAACGCAGACATGACTGGCTACGACCTTTCTCCTGCAGGCAACCCCTCTTTAGTTGACATGGATGTTGCCCTTAAATGGTCATGTTGCAGCTGTTATCCTTTACTCTGATCAGACAACTTTGACTACTGACGGCGGGGTGACCGGGTGGCCTGTATACATATCGCTCGCCAACATCTCTTCCTCAAACAGATGGAAATCTCACGGCCGTCGTCTTGTCGCTCTCCTTCCTGTTATTGACGATCTGACCTTCAAAGGGGCTGATGACACACGCAGGCGGAATGAAGTATAACACGATGCACTGCGCATGATCTTGGAGGAACAAATGAACTTTCTACGCAAGTGAGTGGTTCAGAGTGACCTGTTTGCATGGTAAAGGACAAGAATGTTGTTTCATCCATGCCCTCCTCTCCACCATCATCCCTGCCCTCCTCTCTACCATCATCCATGCCCTCCTCTCTACCATCATCCATGCCCTCCTCTCTACCATCATCCCTGCCCTCCTCTCTACCATCACCCCTGCCCTCCTCTCTACCATCATCCATGCCCTCCTCTCTACCATCATCCCTGCTCTCCTCTCTACCATCATCCCTGCTCTCCTCTCTACCATCATCCTTGTCCTCCTCTCTACCATCATCCATGCCCTCCTCTCTACCATCATCCCTGCTCTCCTCTCTACCATCATCCATGCCCTCCTTTCTACCATCATCCCTGCCATCCTCTTTACCATCCTCCCTGCCCTCCTCCCTGTCCTCCGCCCTGCCCTCATCCCTGCCGTCCCCCTGCCCTCCCTCCTCCGCCGATTTTCCCTGCCCACCTCTCTGCATCGTCCCTGCATGGCCCCTCCGTTCCCCCTGCTGGGAATTTTGTATTCGGTTTCTACGTATTGCAATTCAGGTTAGCCATTGTTTTACATTGACTATCTGATTCGTACCCTACCCTACAGGGGGGAGAAGCTGACAGATCCTTACGGAATCGATCGTTGGGTCTACCCTGTCACCTATGCATATGTTTGGGACTACCCGGAGCAGTGCAAGGTGGCAGGTACCAAATCGGGGATCAAAACTGCTTTCCCCTGCCCAAAATGCAAAATGCCGAATGAAAAGCTCGGTGACATGACTTACCTTATGCAATATCGAACGGAGATTGAGCAGCAGAAGCTCGTCCGTGAAATGCAGCTAGCCCCAACCAAAAAAGCAGTAGAAGAATTGGAGGTCAAGCACAGTACTCATTTTGTCAAGGTGGGTCTAACCTAGCGTTTTCAACTTGCAGTGACCGTTATGGGGTGTACCTTTGTTAGTTCGTCCCTAACATGTCTTCATCTTGACGATTGCAGAGCGCACTGTGGGGATTTCGATTTGGTGAGACAAGCTTCGGCAACCCATATAGGCAATTGATGGTGGACATCATGCACATGTCCTCTTTGGGGGTCTACAAGCACATCATAGAAAGCTTGAAGCAGCAGCTATCAAATGAAGATCTCAGAAAACTTGACATGGCGCTATCTACTGTCACCCAGTACAGTCGCCAATCTTTCTCCGCCTTCCCGCGCATAGTGACGGATACTTCAGTGGCAATGCCACGTTCTATGCCTTCCAGCACCAGGCCGTTATGCAGGTGCTGCCCATTTTGATGTCAACCGTCACGGACATGAACCCGGAGTGGGTGAGGACCGTGGAGTTGTATTGCTTGTGGCATACTCTCGCTTAGCATCGCGCCTACCACACTGAGACGTCCCTGAAGAGTCTGCAAGACATGGCTCGTGTGTAAGTACTCCAGAACCGTGTACTTGCCAAGATTCGCTGTTTGATTCCATTGGTTGTTCGTCGTGTTGTAGTTTTGTCATTAACCAGCAGGCAAGATTCGTGTAGGGTGGATAGGGAGCATCACTGTCACCTTTGCTGTTTTACCTCCCTTTCCCTCGCATTTCCCGTTTTACCTTTGCTGTCCAGTTTTCCTGCAGGTATACCATGGAGCATCACTGTCACCCTGCACTACTCTTGATCTCACTGATTGCACTCTCCCTGCTCTTGATCTCACTGATTGCACTCTCCTTGCTCTTGATCTCACTGATTGCACTCTCCCTGCTCTTGATCTCACTGATTGCACTTTCCTTGCTCTTGATCTCACTGATTGCACACTCCTTGCACTTGATCTCACTGGGTGCACTCTCCCTGCTCTTGATCTCACTGGGTGCACTCTCCCTGCACTTGATCTCACTGGGTGCACCCTCCCTGCTCTTGATCTCACTGGTTGCACTCTCCCTGCACTTGATCTCACCGGTTCCACTCTCCCTGCTCTTGATCTCACTGGTTGCACTCTCACTACTCTTGATCTCATCGAGTTCAATCTCTCTGATTTCAATCTCAATGATTTTAGTATCTCTGATTTCAATCTCTCTGATTGTTAACTCAGTGATTTCAATCTCTCTGATTATCTCTCTGATTTCAATCTCGCTGATTCAATCTCACTATCACCCTGCACCTCCTTTCCCGTCACGTTTTCCCTTCCAACTCCGGCAGCTGAACTTCATTATTGGTGTGCGCGAGGGGTTATGTTTACTTACGTAACCATATTTACCCTCAAAGGCAGCTTCCATTTCTTTGCCGACCAGACCAGAAGCAGGTGGGGGAGTAGAGAGAAAGGAGTTAGGAGGTACAGATTGTTAGAGACTAAGGACGGAGTCTATGAAGATTAAGGGCCGAAATATCTCAAAATCGTCAACTATAATTCTGGACAGAATCGTCGTCGTCACAAGAAACGTTGTCCACAAACAACGCTCCGTTAGAACTCTCTCAAACTCGAGTATGTTGTAGCCCTTGACCGTGGCTATCTTTCCCAATTTGAATAGTATCAAAATATGGATTATAGCTTGAGTTATAAATTTCGGCGCACTAGGGGGTATGCTGTCATAGAAACTTAACTCAATCACAAAGTTGTCTCACAAGTTCACACAAGAAAGTTGAAGTAGCAAGAAACCAGGTAGGAGAGGATGAGGAGGACGAGAGCGAAGGTCCCAAGAGAGTCCCCAACCAAGGAAACCCCATACCACACAATTCCCCTCTCTATAGGCACCCCAACTTTGATATTTGTCATTTTCCCAACTCATGCCATCCACCTCACCCAACTTGGCCACACTTGCCAACCTGGTTTGGCTTCCCCCAACCACTTGGCATCATCTACAGTGATGGTGACGAATTTCCCAACCCCCAAAAGTCTGTACCCCATATTGAGTCAACCCGCAAATTCCCATAGTCGCCGCATCTCAATCAAAACTTCGAACGATCATATCTTTCTCGTTCTTGCTCCGATCGCGGCGATTCTCGGTTCGTCGGAAAGGCAAATAACACTCACACCACGCATGCAACATACGAACATATGATGGGAGGCAGACAGACGTGAATGCAAATGATAGCATCACATAACACAGAGGAAGGAGTTAGGAGGCACAGAGGAGGCAGGGGAGAGTCTGGGATTACGGAGGGAGGACATAAACCCGGAAAACCTTTATTGATCTTCCTGCACCCCTGTCGCCTCGCCAACTCCCTGCTTGTACCTTGCAGCCAGATCTCATCAGAGGAGGCAAATGAGCATGTGTTGGTGCCAGGCTACAAATCGTGGGCAGTCAACAGGTCATGTTGCTTGACGTCAATCAGATGTTTCTGTTTTTTAATCCATCTGCCCATGTGTTACATTTTGTCACAACCATATGACTCCTGATCCAGGTTGGTTCCCCGCCTGGTGAAACACTTGGGCTCTCATCAGAAATCCGACTTCAACGTCCCAAAGGTGCATGCAATGCTCCATGTGGCTGATGACATTCGTCGTGCAGGTGTGCCGGTCCACTACTGTACTGATCTCTATGAGCATGAGCACATCTCCCTCATGAACCGACCATACCGTGCCTCAAATCATCATAATTCCGAAGCCTCAATCACCCGTTGCTGCTTGACAAGCAAGCTTGTAGTTTTTATGACGGCAATCGATGATAACGTAGAAGATAAGGAGGCACGTAGTGTTGCAATGAAACAAGCTCTTGAGACAGGGTCCCCAACTGTGACAGGCAAGGTTGCGAGGATAGATCCAACTGACCGACGTACAAGGTTGTGGAAGGAGTATGCCGACACAGTTCCGGGCGATTTTCAGCTGCTGAGGGAGGGCATTCTTGCATTTCAAATGCAGCAGGAACACCCAGTAGGGTGTAAAGTGACATGGTCACCCGTCATTGTCATTCACCAAGGAATTGCAATTCCTCCGGATGAGGATTTCACTAGATACAGCAAGTACCCTGCATATGCGCGGGCAGCTCCTGCCTTCCATGGACATCCTTGGTTTTCTGATGTCATGGTTGATGGAGTTGAGAGCACAGGGGAGTCCGTCGTGTGGCCAGCTAAGGTGTTTCTGATTTTCACTTTGCACGAGACTCTTTCCAGGACAAGTATTGATGCACGGACAGGTGACGAGTACACGCGAGAGGAGAAAATGGCGGAAAAAGTAGCATTCGTGCGCTACTATAAGGCTCTTCCGAGCTCAAACACGGTCGACCTAACAACACTGAAGTGGTGGCCTGGTGACCAGGGATACGGGGTGGTACATGTGGGCAGCATATTCAGAGTTCTTCACGTGTTTCCTCATGAGGCAGATCTTAAAGGCCCTGGTGCTAGGTTTTTGTGGAACAAGTTGAAGTGGTAGGCCCTAGTTAGTTAAACAACCATGTATGTTTGGTAGCACTCTTCTTTGAAACTATAGGTATGTGCGGCCTGGTCAGAAGGTTTACGTGATTGATCTGGCCTAACAATGGACGGATACAGTACATCTTGACTATATTCTGTCCTACATTCATCTTGCTAAAGTGGTGTAAGAGGACCTTTGTTCATTGTTGTCGCATTAACATCCCTAAACCCGCATACAATAAGAGGCAAATACTCGCCAAAAACTATGTTTTCACATATGCAATTGCGCAAACTATTTTGATGTTGATCCTTTGCAAGTTATCACCCTACGCGCAAGTCCGTCATGACTCGTGTCCATTACGCAGCGCCTTCGGTATTTCCCACACATCAGTGATGGCACACGTTTGGCTCAGGTGCGTATCTATCTGATGTCAAACTTATACATGCTATAGTCTGTTTAGGCTGTAGTGGGGTGGTCCTTAGAGGGTACAACACTTTTGTGTTTTCTACTTGTACCCATCTCATTTCTAGTTCATTCATTCCTCTCATTATTCTCACATGGTATAGAGCAGGTTCCCTAGTGGAACTGTTTTTTTAGGGCCCACCACTAAGAACCTTTTTTTTTTTCCTTACCTGCCCGAAGCGCGCGTCGCGTCTGTCCTATCTGCGCCCCGTGCACCTTCCCTTCGCGGCCCGTAGCGGCCCCTTCGCGGCCCTTAGAGGCCCCTTCGTGGCCCTTAGCGGTCCCTTTCGCGGCCCTTCGCGGCCCCTTTAGCAGCCCTTCGCGACCCCTTTCGAGGCCCTTCGCGGCCCCTTTCGCGGCCCTTCGCGGCCCCTTTCGCGGCCCTTCGCGGCCCCTCGCGGCCCTTCGCGGCCCCTCGCGGCCCTTCGCGGCCCCTTGTGCGGCCCTTCGAGGCCCCCCTTCGCGGCTCTTCGCGGCCCTGTCACGGCACTTCAGCGGCTCTTCGCGGCCCCTTAACGGCCCTTCGCGGCCCCTTACGCGGCTCTTTGCGGCCCCTTCCGGCCCTGCTGGCGCGCCCCTGCCGGCCCCTGCTGACGCGCATCTGCTGGCCCCTACTGGCGCGCCCCTGCCGGCCCCCGCTGACGAGCCCCTGCCGGCCCCTGCTGGCGCGGCCCCTGCTGGCGTGCCTCTG